ATGCTTTTGTTTATTTTATACAAATGAGTTGTTGCAAGATCGTACATCCAGCTAGTTGCTTTCAAATTTTAAATTAATAACACGTGATTCAACATTTCCCCCCAAAAAAAACTGCACACGAATTCTTGCTTATAATTCTTAGTGTCAAATAAATAATTTGCTAGATATGCATAAGCAGCGAAAAGAAGTCGGAGTTGTTGCGAGATATACTTGAGTTAACTGAATAAGAATTTTATTATTTGAACAATTCTAACTATAAATGTTCGTGATATCCTTTCTGGATATTTTGGACTTGTATTTACGAACAGATTTTTTTCCCATACGAAGTAAGATAGGAACAAAAATTTCTTGTAAATACTCTTCCACTACCTGTATCAAGATAATCAACCAATTGACATTGACGAACTATCTCGGTGTTCTGTTTCATACTTTTTTAATTAACACAAATACATTTTTCCAATCAATGTACCGTTTCACTGTAAAAGTTGTTTTAATGTCCTCGTAAATAATACAGGTTACGTATTGAACTGATAAGAAACAAATATATGTAAACTATATGCGGTTCTGAGTAAATTTTTGTTGGCCAGAAGATCTGAAAGGGCAGCGATGATTTGAAGGTTTATCACGATCAACAAACTTCAGGTTAATTAACCACGACGTCCGTTGATTTTCAACTTTGGCGAAGTAACATTTCGTGATGCCGTAATATCGCCATGTCGTTTCAAAGCCAAATAAAAGCCACATCGACAGAGAGGAACTGTTACTGTTCGTACTATGCCGGCTGATCTCAATTAATTACCCAGGTCTGGCAGAGCGTTGATACAGCTGGCGGTTAACCATATTCCGGAGGAACTACTTCAGATACAGCCATTTACCGGTGTCGTATCGATGAAATGTAAATTTGGATAACTGCTTGCAAACGTCATTCACATCGGCGCAATCTGCATACCGCGTCTATCTCATGCATATGCCTCTGGCAGGCTACGTTATCGCTTTCTCCTCGTATATTCGCTTTTAAGGAATAAACGCGACACGTGTTTGCAAGTCAAGGGACACACCGAGCTCGCGCAGCGAATTTGCAAGTAAATATCGGACGCGAGTTATGACACGGGTTATGGCACACACCCAGACTCGCGTAAAACTGTTTTACCAGCGTCGTTGCAAATAATGTCACAGCCGGGGAATACATTTTCGGCGGTGAAAATGAAATTCAATGATCTGTTCGAGTAACAATTTAGCGTCGATCGAAC